TAGAGGCAAAACATCTTAGGAAAGAAAAGCTGGGCAACAACGCGTGCAATAAGTGTAGAAACAAAAAAATAAATTAACATCAGAAATCTTTAGACTGAGCCCAGTTTTGTTAAAAGTGGCTTTTCAAATAAATTTCAAATTAGTCCCCTACTGAACTAAAAAAAATTAACAGGATAAGTTAAGATCTCTTTGGTTGAATGTCAGCCTGCAAAAAATTTGAGCTTATTATTGGTGAAGCAGAAGCCTACATTTGCTATTGGATTCGCCTAAGTTTAAAAACGTGCGAAATTTAATTGATGCTTGCGCGGGAAAGATGTAAGCGAAAGTGATTATTGCATGGCTTATCCTATCTGAAAAGGTCAGGAAGATTCTTCAGGCATGCAAATTTGAATGCCATTAAAAAGCAAAGTATCATAACCACTCACGTTCCTTCTGTTTTAGAGCCACGGCACCTCAAGTGGACGGACCAGAAGCGGACCAACGGTTTGATATGATACATGAGTTGTTGGTAGGCAGCTCATAAGGGGCATCATGGTGGTTGACTCCCTAGCTTCAAGTAGACTAAGCGTGGGCTCGGTGTGTAACCCTGGAACGGCGGCGGCCGAGGCAGAAGATTCCATAGTTGACAATAATAGAAATTCATTTAATGATGAATTTTTTTCAACCAATAGCTTTTGAAGTTCAGGGTACGCTGAGCCCAGCACTGAGATATTTCAAATTCAGTAAGATTTCGAGAATTTTAACCCAGAAATCCAGGACAAGTAGTTTTCTTAATCACAGACTCTCTCTCTCGCAATACAGGCTGCGAACACTGGAAGTGTACTGGTCTCTAATAACGATGAAACTGGTTTCGAAAATTTTTTTATTGAACCAAAGGAACAAAAGCGTTGAAGTCCTATTATTAAAAAAGCGATCGGCGTGGAAGTGTTTGGCCAATTAAAAGTTTTTGGTGCAAAATCGATTGATTTTTTTGGTATAAATGAGACAGATTTTTCATTTTGGTACAATGAAAACACAGATGGCACAGCCGTATCCTCCTATCAGGCCAATCTTGATTTTCTTCAAACTCCGTGCAGTTTTTTCTCAATCATCTGACTCTTTTTACTTTTTTTCACGTTAAACTTTATTTTTCCATAATTTATAAAATTGTTTTTGAGTGGTTAAAAGGATGAAGGACTAGTGTAAAAACTTCAGTTAAATTTATATTTTTTGACTTTTCAAGTACATTAAAGAATTAACTATTTCTCTTGGAGAACCTCCGAACACAGTTCAACAAGAAACTGAAACAATTTGCCTCAACTCAACAAGCGTTGGATCGGCAACTTGGTGTCTGATCGGTAGAAATTGTGATCACTTGCGTATCTGTAGAAAAAAGTCCCTCGCAGGCTCAATTTCATAAAATGTTTAGAAAAGATAAATCCGTAACAGCAATTTTTTATGGAGTTTTTTTATAAGAAAGAAGGAACCGCGATGAAGAGAAGCAACTGATTTATAGTAAATTCAAGCGCGGGTTAGTCCGGCTTCTTTAATCCGCGTGATGATTTAGATTGCCAAAAAAAGCAAAACTAAAAATCGTTTTGATACGCTGTTCGGACATGTAGACGAAAAAAACGAAAGTTCTAAAAACGAAAAAAATTAGTCCCTACATTTTCTAAAGCCACCAAAATTAGAATCAAATGTTTTCAAGTTTGTTCCTCTCAGTCCAGTAAAATGATAAAGATGTGATTTGAGTCAACTTGAATTCTACAAACCGGTTCCAGAAGTTCCTCTCTCTTACTAGGTCATCTACTGTTAGTACATCCAAAGCTGCACCGATTGGTTCAGAATCAGCTTACATCCAGAAGAGAACGGAGATGATCGCTCAAACCTATCAGGTAGTAATAAAAAAACAAAAGTGAATATAGCTGAAACAAAGACATTAGATAGCACAGATCTCGCTCTAAAGGATGTCAATGCCTCAAAGTCTGGAAAAGTGGGAACTACAACTCATGTTTTTGGAGGATTCTCGACAAAGTTTACTTTCGGCCGAAATCTTGATAGCAGGGCCACAACAATGTCGGCTGAGAATGAATTGTCACAAAACAAGAAGGATGAAGCTGAGATTGCTAGTAAAGCACTTGGTGACTGTGTAAAGCCTCCACCAATAATGTTGTTTGGAGAAAAAAAAGGGCACAGTGGCTCTGAAGACAGCTCAAAAGTCGTAAATCGAAGTCAATGCAAAACCGGAGAAGAAAATGAGCTCACCGTTTTCAAACGAACGCCAAAATTTTTCAGTATGACTCAGAGGGCGTGATGCGTATTAATCCTACATTTCAACTGATATTAAATTGCACATTTTTTGCCAGCCAAAAAAAATGAAAAAGCATCTGAGAGGGCTATCAAGCTGAGCTCACTGACCTAATATCGGAGTGGGCTGACTCGCTTTATACAATCAATCAAAAGCAATCCTCAGATTCTCGACAGCTTATATAGTCTATCGCATATGCGAGCTGCTCTACAAAAAGACAAAGAATGTTCACAAAATGATGACGGAGATACAATGAATTAAACAATTTATAGTTCTGGGTTTGCTTAATTCTGAAAACAGAGTTGTATATGTATTTCAGGTTGACTATATTTGGAATAGGTTGCTACAAATATAGTGCAATTTAAATAAGTTCTGTGGTCAAGTTTTTTTGCAGTTCTCACATTGAAATTATTTTTTTCCGAAATATTCTCTCAATATGATTTTTAAAAATAAACTTAGTTATGCTTGGCTTTAGCAAGCTTCATCTAATCCGAATATAATCTTTCTTAATGAAAGCAACTTGTTTAGCAGAATGATTGAATCATTTGATGGCTTGATTTATTACCCTTGCGATATGCAAGGGTTTTGCAATATAGGGTATTAGACATTTTTCCGGTAAATAATTTTGTCCACAGCACTCATACGGACTCGTTTTTTGGAACAAACTTAACGTGTTTTTTTTTCAGGAAAAGGTTTAAAATGCTCTAATAACTACAAATGTGCCTTCATATATATTGATGCATTTATGAATGCAGATAGGGATAAATGCACTTTTTGAGTTCAATTGAAATTCATCAGCTGAAAGTTACGTAAATTGCACAATTGCACTCTCCAAATATGAATGTGGAAATGGTGCAAAAAAAACGTGAACGATTGCTAGTTTCGAAAATGGAATAAATTTTTTAGATTACCAGCGAAATGAAAGTTTTACCTGTTGATCCATTTTTCTAAATTGGGTTAAAATTATCAAAAAGCGTCAATCAAAAATTGTTCTGGAAGTTTAAGGAACTTAAAGAGCCTCTATGTTTTTAAATGAAATTCAAAAGCTGAGATTTTTTCATTAAAGTGTTTTTTTAAACATTTTTACTTGCATTCATTACTCTTTCTCAATCTTCGTCTGGCTATGTTTGCATGTTAGCATGTTAAACATCTGTCCTATTCTTTTTATATTTGTGGTCATGTTACCAACTTTTGATAAGTTTTAAATAAAAATGAGCTGTCAAGAGCATCATCAACATAGTAACAGTTTGATTTGATTTTTTTTGTTATTTTGATAACAGCACCATTTTTCAACAGTAAAAATCAATTCTAAAATTTTGAATTAAAAACGTTTTTATGAAAAATTGACACATCATCCTAAAACTTCATAAATTTTCAGCAAGCATCAGTTCCATTTCAATCAATAAAACAAATTTGCTGTTCGAAGAAAAACGCAGAGTGATCATTGGGACAAGAACGACCGTTGATCAAAATCTTGACCGTTGCCTTCAATTAACACCAAAGTTTTATTAATAAATATAAATAAGCTAAATATAAATATAAGTTAAGACCTCCATCAACATAGTAAAAACTTTGATTTGAATTTTTAATATTTTGATAAAAGCACCATTTGTCAACAGAAAAAACCAATTCTAAAACTTTTGAATTTAAAAATTGTTTACGAAAAGTAGACAGTTCATCCTGACGTTTTCATTCAATTTTAGTAAGCATCAGTTCCATAACGATCCATGAAACAAATTTGGAAAAAAAGCAGAGTGATTGTTGGGATAAGAATGGAGCTTGCCAACTGAGCTTCCATCATCTTGATGCTATGCTCACAATGGGCCTTTAGACCAGGGTAGCCTAGCTGTTTTCCAATCATCCTTTGATTTTATTAAAGGCGCCGTTAGTGCTTTGAGAGCTTGGAAAATAATTTTGCTCGACTAAAAAAAGAGCTGAAAATTTTGGATTTTTGGGTTTGGAAACCCTAGCCACTTCAAAACTTCTAGATCCACCCTATTTTTTCTACATCAAAACTAATATATAAACTAATTTAAATAATCAAAACCATCTGCAAATTTTGTATATTGGTGGTTTCCTTAATTCGCTTTTTTCAAACGGACGAATAATCTAATGTAAATAATGATTTACTGGGATAGCTTTCTGAAAATTTGCTTGTATGGCAGTGCAACCAACTAAACATGTTTTGAAATTTTTTGGAAGCAATTTCAGCTCAGGAAATTAAACTTAGCAGGTCGTGGAAAGCAAAATAAGATGGCTTTTTTCCACAAACTGAAAGGTCGAACCTCTTGAATCACAAATATTTCAGAAACGAATTTCATTGAAACATACTTAATTGACAGCACGTCCTAGCAAGCAAGGTTTCAGACAAGTAGAATGACACAGTGGAGACTACTCTTTCCTCAATTTTTACATGATTTGAGTGTAAATTTTCCAATCAACAAAACACATTTTTTTTGGTTTTAAATTGTACAAATTTCCTAATGAATTTTAAAAATATTGAATAATCGCCAAAGTAATCTCAACTCAAAAACTTAATCAGGAGAAAGCTATAATGATTTTCATTAGAGTATTTACTCAACCAATTGTGCGAAAAACCATAGGCGAATAAAATATGCTATTTATTATGTGAATTGATTTTAATTTTCGTGTAGGAGTCCGCTTTGAAAAAGACGCATCAATCAAAAACCTCCAAAATACTTTTTGATAGCATGTAGCAAAAAATCTACTAGAAGACTCTCGAAGCGGTGGGAAGAAGAAGCAGAGTGATCATTGGGACGAGAGTGAAAGCGTGGGACTGCTTGGCGGCCAGCGCTGCTTCCATCGCCTTGACATAATCGATGTTGCGCTCAGGGTTCTCGATGCCGATCAGGGTAGCATTACCATCATTCAGTACCTTGAAGTCCTTGTCCTCCACAACCTCAATTTTAGTCACGTGGTCTCCCCCCGTGTTCAAGTCGGAGAAGCTGATGTTGCAGCTGACGGGGAACTTATAGTAGTAGAGTCCGTTCTCGATCTTGGTCTCGACAAAAGTCATGACTGTCTTGTTTCCAGCGTCAGGACACAGCTCCTTCGAAGGATCTCGGTCTGGCTGCTTCTTGATTTGCGCCTTCACTTTCTCAAGCAACTCGTTTTGCAACTTTTCCGCCTCTTTTCCTTCTTTTGTATTCTCACTTTCGTAGCCGCCGGCGTCCATGATGCCAAATAGTTTCAGAGACTTCTGAAACTCCAAAACATTTCCGTCGTGCTTGCCAGTTTTCTTGATCTTCAAGTGCTGGTAACCCCTGACTCCACTAGTTCTGCAATAAAAGGACAGAATATGCAGGTCCGGATCCTTTGAACTCTGAAACCATCTCTCAAACATGGCATCGCGTTTATCACACTTATCTCCCGGTAGGTTGGAGCTAAGGTAGGATGAAAGCACGTTTCTAAAGAGAATCGCCATGTCCGGCATCTGCTTAGGGAGAGTGTAATATGGACCCCACTCATTAGGGGGTGTCTTTTTCTCCACACAGAACACAACTGCAGACGTCAGAACAATCAACCGTATGCTGGTACTGATCATTCCGGCGATCTGTTTTTTTCTTCAAAGCTGAAACATTGTTTTATCAAAAATCAGAATGGACAGTAAAAATATGAAATCTAAGAAATCTAGAAAAACTGAACTGTAATAACTGTTTGAACGTTGTGGCTTTAAAAATGATTAATTTTACTCATCTGTGTTCTGGTTTTCGTTGTTGGGTTAACAATTGCTCTTTGAGAAGTTTTGCTCTTTGAGTAGTTTTTTCGGAACATAGTTCAGGTGACCATATGCGAACGATTTGGCGAAAAGGTATGGATGTAAGCCAAGCCATTATGTAAGTTTTTTTCATAAAAAATAACTAAATCTTTGATAAGTTTTTAGACAGATGTTGACTGAAAAATTGTCATTTCATTTATTAAATTGCTAAAAATTGAGCTAAATTTTATTTTGTATCTGATTAATTTTTTGTATTCTGTTTGTACCAAAAAAGGTAAGGTGTGTAAGGAGTACATCCTTACTTTTCCAAAAAAGACCATTAAGTCTAAAATTTTAAACAGCTTCTAATGTCTATGGGACGTTTTGGCACATAAAACATCTCTCTGACTTTTGCTAAGTAGCTGATCAAGTTCATTGCGGTTTCCTTATGGTTTTATTTAATTGAACAGTTTTTTTATCATATATCAAAACTTCAACCATGAATCTAGTAGTTGAAAAAAAAAGGAAAAAAACGGAAGAAATCTTTGCTCTTTCTTTGCTTGAAAACAAAAAATTGCACCTTCTTTGTCCCGTGACTTCATAATTCGCGGTTTTTTCCAAAAAAAAACTCTCACATTTTTTTGTTAGTTTTTTTCATAATTTCCAATTTTTTCTGCCCATTTTCGTTCAATAGCTTATTTAACCTGATTTCTGAGTCCTTTTAGATGAAATATTATTTAGGACAGTCTACGGAAAGTCGGACTATTCTAGTTTTGGATGATTATAAGAGTAGTCAAACCAAAAAAGAACAGAAGGAAAAAAATCAAATTATTTGGAGTCATTTTGAACACAAACAAATTGTACAAAAACGCCATATGAAGTACAAAAGAATAAATATCGCTCCTTGTAACAAATCAATTATGGCAAATAAGCTTCTTTAAACCAGTTTGAAACGATTTCTAAGACAGATTAAATGTCCGCTTACGCGTTAATAGCGCTAAATATATCGCGCGTTAATTGTCCCAAATTGGCCAAAATGGCCAAATTTTTAAACCCCCATAACTTAACGAAAAATGATCACAGGTGAAATATCTTTTTCCCTTTTAAGCTCAAGACAAAAATACTATTTGAATGATAAAAAAAAAATTCCAAAAAAATGGTTACATAAAAAGTCGAAATTTGTCTGAAGAAAAAAAACCCACCCCAAGCACAAATATTCCGTTACTTTCGTATCTAAAGTCGGAACAATTATGTAATTTTTGGCCTGTTAATTTCAAAGATTTGCTTGCGGTGCAGAAAAACTTGTTCAAATTTCCATAGGGGAACCAAATTGTATTTGTTCCGACTTTCGATACGAAAGTAACGGAATATTTGTGCTAGGGGTGGGTTTTTTTTCTTCAGACAAATTTCGACTTTTTAACCAGCCATTTTTTACGGAATTTTTTAAAATCATTCGAAAGCTATTGTTGTCCTGAGCTCAAATTTGAAAAGACATTTCACCTTTGATCATTTTTCGTAAAGTTTTGAGGGTTTAAAGATTGCCATTTTGGCCAATTTGGGACAATTAACGCGCGGTATGTTTCGCGCTATTAACGCGTAAGCGGAGAGTTAATCCGACTTAGAAATCGTACCAAATTGGTTGAAAGAAGCTTATTTGCCATAATTGATTTGTTACAAGGAGCGAAAACTTTATTTTTGTACTTTATATGGCGTGTGGGGTGATGATTTTCATAAAAAAATTCAAATTTTAGAAACAAAAATTTTCTTTTTTGTTTTATTACATTAAATTTTTTAATGTTATTACTGCTCCATAAACCTTAAAAGGCAGTCGGAACATTCAGGGCTTCGCCCTGATACGAGCAGTCTTGTTGCACTTTGCATCTGAAATTTTCTCAATCATTGCCTAATTGTAACAAGACTGCTCGTATCAGGGCGAAGCCCTGAATGTTCCGACTGACTTTTAAAGTTTTATGGAGCAGTAATAACATCAAAAAATTTAAAAAATCAAAATAAATTTAATTTTTTTTTCTTAAATTTGAAATTTTTTATGAAAATCTTCCCTTCACACGCCATATTAAGTACAAAAGGATAAATTTCGCTCCTTGTAACAAATCAATTATGGCAAACAAGCTTCTTTCAACCAATTTGGAACGATTTTAAGACGGGTTAAATCTCCGCTTACGCGTTAATAGCGCGAAATATATTGCGCGTTAATTGTCCCAAATTGGCCAAAATGGCAATTTTTAAACACCCATAACTTCACAAAAAATAATCACACTTGATATATCTTTCAAAATTGAAGCTCAGTCAACAATAGCTTTTAAAACATTCTGTCAAAAATGGCTAGTTAAAAAGTCGAAATTTGTCTCAAGAACCCTCCCAGCACAAATATTCCGTAACTTTCGTATCAAAGTCGGAACAGTAATCAATACGCCTTTTCCAAGTTGCATCAAACGAATGACTTAACCGGAAAATTAGTCCTGCTCAGAAATTTTTCTAACTTGACTTGGGCAAGCTTATTGATCTGCTTCATACGTTTTTAATCTTTTTAAGGACGTTTTTGACGTACCATTCATCGTTTTGACGGTGTTTTGTTTTCATATCATCTGATAATTGTAGATAATTAAAATAAAGATCACTTAAGCCAAGAGTTATATAACGCATTCAAAACAGTCTCTTAGAAGATGGAAGACATATCACTTTTATTTCCCATTAGGTTATGAATTTCTTGTGATTTTCTGGACTTATGAATTTCTATACTTTCTGGATGAATTTCTGAACAATTTATACGTGATTTTCATATAATAAAAAATTGTATCCTTATTGTTCCGACTTTCGATACGAAAGTAACGGAATATTTGTGCTCGGGGTGGGTTTTTTTTCTTCAGACAAATTTCGACTTTTTAACCAGCCTTTTTTTACGGAATTTTTTTAAAATCATTCGAAAGCTATTGTTGTCCTGAGCTTAAATTTAAAAAAATATTTCACCTGTGATCATTTTTTGTTAAGTTTTGAGGGTTTAAAGATTGCCATTTTGGTCATTTTGACCATATTGGGACAATTAGCGCGCGGTATATTTCGCGCTATTAACGCGTAAGCGGAGAGTTAATCCGTCTTAAAATTGTTCCAAATTGGTTGAAAGATGCTTATTTTCCATAATTGATTTGTTACAAGGAGCGAAATTTATTCTTTTCTACTTTATATGGCGTGTGGGGGGACGATTTTTATAAAAAATAGCAAATTTTAGAAACAAAAATTTTCATTTTGTTTTATTACATTTAATTTTTTAATGTTATTGCTGCTCCATAAATCCTTAAAAGGCAGTCGGAACATTCAGGGATCCGCCTTCATACGAGCAATCTTGTTTTTCCGGTTTCGATACGAAAGTAACGGAATATTTGCGCTCGGGGTGGATTTTTTTTTCTTCAGACAAATTTCGACTTCTTAACTAGCCATTTTTGACAGAATTAATTTATATCATTCGAAAGGTATTGTTGTCATGAGCTCAAATTTGAAAAGACATTTCACTTGTGATCATTTTTTGTAAAGTTATGGGGGTTTAAGGATTGGCATTTTGGCCAATTTGGGACAATTAACGCGCGGTATATTTCGCGCTATTAACGCGTAAGAGGAGAGTTAATCCGACTTAGAAATCGTACCAAATTGGTTGAAAGAAGCTTATTTGCCACAATTGATTTGTTACAAGGAGCGAAAACTTTATTTTTGTACTTTTTATGGCGTGTGGGGGGATGATTTTCATTAAAAAATTCAAATTTTAGAAACAAAAATTAAAAATTTTCATTTTGTTTTATTACATTAAATTTTTTAATGTTATTACTGCTCCATAAACCTTAAAATGCAGTCGGAACATTCAAGGCTTCGCCCTGATACGAGCAGTCTTGTTGCACTTTGCATCTGAAATTTTCTCAATCATTGCCTAATTGTAACAAGACTGCTCGTATCAGGGCGATGCCCTGAATGTTCCGACTGACTTTTAAGGTTTTATGGAGCAGTAGTAACATCAAAAAATTAAATATATCAAAATAAATTTAAAATTTTTTATTCTTAAATTTGAAATTTTTTATTAAAATCTTCCCTTTACACGCCATATTAAGTACAAAAGGATAAATTTCGCTCCTTGTAACAAATCAATTATGGCAAATAAGCTTCTTTCAACCAATTTGGAACGATTTTAAGTCGGGTTAAATCTCTGCTTACGCGTTAATAGCGCGAAATATACCGCGCGTTAATTGTCCCAAATTGGCCAAAATGGCAATCTTTAAACCCCCATAACTTCACGAAAAATAATCACAGTTGATATTCTTTCCAAATTGAAGCTCAGGACAACAATAGCTTTTAAAACATTCTGTCAAAATGGCTAGTTAAAAAGTCGAAATTTGTCTGAAGAACCCCCCCCCCCCCCCAGCACAAATATTCCGTAACTTTCGTATCGAAAGTCGGAACAGTAATCAATACGCCTTTTCCAAATTGCATCAAACGAATGACTTAACCGGAAAATTAGTCCTTGCTCAGAAATTTTTCTAACTTGACTTGGGCAAGCTCATTGATCTGCTTCATGCGTTCTTAATCTTTATAAGGACGTTTTTGACGTGTAATTCATCATTTTGACGGTGTTTTTTTTTCATATCATCTGATAATTGTAGATAATTGAAATAAAGATCACTTAAGCCAAGAGTTATATAACGCATTCAAAACAGTCTGTTAGAAGATGGAAGACATATCACTTTGAATTTCCCATTAGGTTATGAATTTCTTGTGATTTTCTGGACTTATGAATTTCTATACTTTCTGGATGAATTTCTGAACAATTTATACGTGATTTTCATATAATAAAAAATTGTATCCTTATTGTTCCGACTTTCGATACGAAAGTAACGGAATATTTGTGCTCGGGGTGGGTTTTTTTTCTTCAGACAAATTTCGACTTTTTAACCAGCCTTTTTTTACGGAATTTTTTTAAAATCATTCGAAAGCTATTGTTGTCCTGAGCTTAAATTTAAAAAAATATTTCACCTGTGATCATTTTTTGTTAAGTTTTGAGGGTTTAAAGATTGCCATTTTGGTCATTTTGGCCAATTTGGGACAATTAACGCGCGGTATAATTCGCGCTATTAACGCGTAAGCGGAGATTTAATCCGTCTTAGAAGTCGTTCCAAAATGGTTGAAAGAAGCTTATTTGCCATATTTGATTTGTTACAAGGAGCGAAATCTATTGTTTTGTACTGTATATGGCGTGTGGGGGGATGATTTTCATAGAAAAATTTTCAAATTTTGGATTTTTTTTTTCTCATTTTATTTCATTTAATTTAATTCATTACTTTGTTTATGTTATTACTGCTCCATATACGTTAAAAGGCAGTCGGAACTTTCAGGCTTCGCCCTGATACGAGCAGTCTTGTTTAAAGATTATTCACAACCGATACAAAAATAACTCGTACACCGATTGAACAACATGAAATTCGAAGTACTTAGTAATGTGATCGTAGTTCCTCCCGACAAAAACTTTTCGGGAAATTTTTTTGGAATTTTCCGTCTTAGAAATCCGTCTTAGAAATCGTTCCAAAATGGTTGAAAGAAGCTTATTTGCCATATTTGATTTGTTACAAGGAGCGAAATCTATTGTTTTGTACTTTATATGGCGTGTGGGGGGATGATTTTCATAGAAAAATTTTCAAATTTTGGAATTTTTTTTTCTCATTTTATTTCATTTAATTTAATTCATTACTTTGTTTATGTTATTACTGCTCCATATACGTTAAAAGGCAGTCGGAACTTTCAGGCTTCGCCCTGATACGAGCAGTCTTGTTTAAAGATTATTCACAACCGATACAAAAATAACTCGTACACCGATTGAACAACATGAAATTCGAAGTACTTAGTAATGTGATCGTAGTTCCTCCCGACAAAAACTTTTCGGGAAATTTTTTTGAGATAAGAATATTTTGCCCAAACTTGGCTTTGGGCCGCACCCATAAGGGAATAAACCATAGAAATTTACAGGAACAGTGATAAGCAGCATACTTGAAAGATGTGACCGTGTATATCGAAAACAGACTATGAAAACAGACTAAACGTACACTCTCCCTTGAAGATGTTTTTGAAAGTTTCTTTTGTTGACCATCTGCACAAAACACGTTCTTGATTGAAAGATGAAATGAAACATCTTGCATACAAATGGATCATAAAATAACCCAGTGTACAAGTATTTTTCAGCAACTTTTTTTGAACTACGCCTGAAGTTCTGGTTAGCTGAAAATATTGTGTTGTATTGGATATTTGTACAATTTTGATCAAAGTTGACCAAGTGGTTTTCGAGTTATTTTAAGTGGGATCTTATTTGGGACACTCAATAGAAAATCGGATCTTGTTATCTATTTGAATCTCAGAAATTAAATCTTTATCGTTCAACATTTATTTTGAACTTTTTAAAACAATTTCCGGTTAAAACACTTCAGGTTTTCTAATTTTGGATGATAAAAATGGCAGTCAAATCGAAATGAACAAAAGAAAATGAAAGTAAAATCTTTTTTAGTCTATATGAAGATATATTTACAGTTTGTACGAAAACGGTTATCAAAACTAATACAAGCAGAGACGGATTTAAGGTGGGCGGGGGTTGGTTGGATGCCCCAAACTTCAGGGATTTGACTGTCTGACTTCCCAAAAGGTCCTACCAGTAACTCTAGTTTACGACTCCCATTTTCGGTCGACCAACCTGAAAATGTTTCTGAAAGCGCTTTCGACGCCATTATATTCGAATTTTGAAGGAGAGTGGTTACAGAACAGGTCGACAAAAAACAGGTTGACAAAATTTTTTATTTTGTTTTGAAAATCTACTCTCAAAAATCCTAAAATCACCCGTGAATAAAGGCATAATGAAATTAATTAACAATGTCCGAAAATTGAAGTTTGATCGAAAAATATGGAAAACGATTTTCAATGATTTTTTGAAAACAGTTATTGAAAATAATGGCCAATTCTCTAACATATTCTGTTTTCAGATGTTTGGACGTTTTGTCAGCCTCTGAAATGTCTAAAACCGATCCTAGAGCTCCAGTAGAAGCTATTCTTGAGAAAAAGTGTTGAGAGGGTAGAGTTGAGTCAAACTCATATTTGTCGCAGTGTTGTTAGACTCAAACTTGTACTAATTTTAATTAGGTTTTGTAGTGCTGGCAAAGCATTATTTCGGTAAACTTGAAACGGTAGCCTTGTTTCCCCTGTTTCCCCTGCTTCCATTGCATTAAGAAAGTTTTTTTTATCAAAAATTTTGAGCATTCGAAAATTATCAATTGGTCTTTGTTTCTGGAAAATTATATTCGTGCAATTAAGAAGTGATCTATGATCGTGAAAGTGTTAGATGTACTAGGTTTTATGCGTAGCAAATTATTCTGCACTCAAATTGATTCCAAAATGATTAGGTACAAGCTGATGGGTCATAATAGTCACTCAAATCAATAATTGACACGAAGTTTTTGATAGTGATTCAAAAATTGCAAATGTTAGTTTACGAAAAATCAATCGAGAACAACTTAAATGTAGTCAATATGATTTGATCAATTGACTCGTGCAGCGATTTGATTCGACGCGGAAAAATAGAATTAGAAAAGTCAACGCTTATAAATTTTGAAAAAAAAAACATAGGTTGTAAAGGACTGACTGAACATTCAGGGTGTTTTCTTGATTCGATTAGTTTTGTTTATTTGGTGTTTTGCAAGACTTGAATGATCTAGGACAAAATAAAATGAGACTGCTCATACCAGGGTAAAGACCTGAATGTTCTGAGTGACTTTCTAGATATTGAGTACTAGTAACATGAAAAAAAAATGTAATAAAAATAAAATGAAGTTAAAAAAAACTTGAGATTTTTTTTGTAAAAATCATCCCCCCACACACCATGTAAAGTACCAAGTAATAAACTTCGCTCCTAGTACCAAATCAGTTATGGGAAATAGGCTTTCTTCAACGGATTTGGAACAACTTTTAAAACTGATTTAAAGTCCTCTTACGCGTTAAAAGCGCGAAATATAGCGCGCGGTAATTGTAGTTCTTTAACCCCCATAAATTTACAAAAAAAGATCAAAGGTGAAAATTTTTTTCAATCTTAGGCTCAAGACAACAATACTTTTTGAACAATTTTTAAAAATTCCGTCAAACATGGCTAGTAAAAAGTCGAATTTTGTCTGAATAAAAAAAAATGACTCGAGCACAAATATTCCGTTACTTTCTTTACGAAAGTCAGAACAATAATTTTCGTTACGAAACACTGAACATTGATAAAAATGAATAACGAACCTTTGTAAAGTATCACAGTTTCAAGAAAAGCAGTACAGTATTCTAATGCTTGAAATTTTTGTCTGCTTTCTTGCTTCGCTATTATAAACCGAAATGAATCGGAAAAATGGCTTTTTTTTCTATTCGTGATTTTATCTATTCTAGGGCTCCACAAACACAAAAGCCCGAATTCATAACCACCTGAAATTAAGAAAATGGTAAATCTGCGGGTCGAGATGTTTGTTGACGATGCTTGTTGAGATTATATCAAACTCGTTTGTCTTTGACAAGTTTACTCTTAGCAAACATTACTTCTGTATTATAACATACACAAGGCACCAAAAGAAGAATCAGTTGATTTGCTTAGTGTTCTGCCAAAATTGAGGTGTCTATAACAAAATAAAACAAGACTGCTCGCATCAGGGCAAAGTCTTGAATGTTCCGACTGTCTTTTAGGGTATGAAGCAGTGATAACATGAAAAAATTAAATGTAATAAAAATAAAATTATATTCGAAAAAAAATTAATTGAGATTTTTTTTGAATCATCCCCCCCACACGCTATATAAAGTACAAATGATAAATTTTGCTGCTAGTAACAAATCAATCATGGCAAATAAACTTCCTTCAACCATTTTGAAACGATTTCTAAGACGGATTAAATGTCCGCTTACGCGTTAAAAGCGCAAAATGTATCGCGCGATAATTGTACCAAATCGGCCAAAATGGCAATTTGAAACCCATAACATTACAAAAATGATAACAGGTGAAATTTTTTTTCAGATTTAAGCTCAAGCAACAATATTTTTGAATAATATAAAATAATTCCGCCAAATATGGCTAGTTGAAAAATCAAAAATTGTCTGAAGAAAAAAAAGCACCCGAGCACAAAAACTCCGTTACTTGCGCTACAAAAGCCGGAACAATAGTTTTTGTTGCAAAACTCTGAACAATGGCAAAAATGAATAACGAACTTTTGTAAGTTATCACAGTTCCAAGAAAAATAGCACATTATTCTAATTCTTGAAACTTATGTCTACTTTCCTACTTCACTATTATAAATCGAAATGAATGGCTTTCTCTTTATTATCATTTCATAGAAAAATGTTTTTGACTTAATCCATTCTAGGGCTTCTCAAAAATAATTGCCCGAAATCAAAACTGCCTAAAGTTTCAAAAATGGGTTTTCTGCGGTTCGAGATCTTTGTTGACGATGCTTGTTGAGATTATATCGAATGTGTTAGTCTTTTGGCAAATTTACTCTTAGCAAAAATCACTTCTTTAAAATAACGGATACAAGGAAGGCACTAAAAAAAGAATCAGTTGGTTTGCTTAAACTCATTTTAGTTCACAATAGAAACAGTTGATCATATTTTCAGCCTTCAATTCTCATTGAGGAAAACTTAGCAAAAGGTTTCTTGCTTGTTAATTTTTTGTCAAAAACAAGTAGAAAAAATAGAGGAAGTGCAACAAGGCTGAAAAACAAAACACGAAAATTAACTATAATAGATAATGAAACTTTTTAAAAAATATATATTGAGGTTTTTTGTGAAAATAACCGCCCGCGTGTCATATCAAGTACAAAGTGACAGGTCACTATCTATTTTCAAACTTTTGATCTGTCACTTAATTAGTATCGCTTTTACATTTACACTAAACCTCCTGGACATTTTGCCGATCTCTGATAAGCAAATAAACACATCTTAAACGTAGTAGTTATGACACCTCTAGCTCCTGGTGAGTAGATGGGTGAATAGGAGCTCGGATGGGAGCAGAAACAAAACAAGCTATTAATTGAAAATAATGCTGGAAAAATTAATTTCATTTGGTGTAAGAAAAAAGAAAATTTTTTATTTTGTGAAAAACTCATTGGATTCTCTATCAATTCAATTGGCTGCGAAAAATTTCTATAATATTTTAGAAAACTATACAAGTCCATGTTCATTATTATTCTCCCGTTGTTCAACTAAAATTAAACGGAATGCATTTTTTCGCTGAAATTTTAATATTTGCAAACAACAACTCAAACAAATCGGGTTACTGGTAAAATAACTGGGAAGTTAGAAAACTAAAAAACATCGAGAGGAACAACATGAGTTTTCAACAACATGAACAATTTGCAATAATTGATTCACTGATCAATTAAAAGTTGAACTTTTGATATCCAAACATTAAAATTCAATTTCAGATAGATGATGTTTGAGAATTTTGAATTTCTTTAGCGAAAAGATTATCAAAACGCGATTCAAAACCTGTCAATTGGGCTAGATTATCAAGAGCATGAAAACACGCCAAAACGTTCTTCTGCTAAACTTACTTTTGAAGATGTACTATCAATCAATCGAAATCAACTTTAAACAGTATTGCTTTTTTCAGCATTCAATTACACAAACTTTAAAATGTTTGTTTACTGAAAATAGGCTATCAATTAGCAAATGCAAAACATTTTTCTGTAGTGAGGCAAAAAGAAAATCAATTTTTTAAACAAAATATATAACAAAACAGAAAATTACCAAACATGATTAAAAGTTGTTTTGAGAAAACTTGAAAATATTGAGAAACTGCGCGTAGCCGTTAAAATTTAGAGAGATTTCATGAGTGATTGAGGGACGACTAATTATAAGTAATGAAAAATTTGGTACAAGCAACCCAATTTTAATTCAGGTTAGATGATGTTTAAAGTCGAAACCTCGACCCGGGCTAAGTAATTCTCGAGACGATTGACTACTTCAAAATTAAAAGCAAGTTCACTTAGCTATGGTTATAGTCAACTCGTGGTTCAAAGGCATACAAAAATGTTTGCTGAAAACAAATATAGATTCCCGGAATGGTCTCGCAGTGCAAATCAGTGCTACTTCAGTAATGTTCGAGTGAAATTGCAGTACTGCAGCCTACTCTGTACAGTGCGACTGTATCTTTGCTCAGAGATTGAGTCAGAGATAAACATCCAAGTACAGTTTTTTTTGCTGTAGTTGAGCTGTTTTTGAACCTAATTTTGGATCAATTGAATAATTATTAAAGCAGAGAAACTTTTTTGGTATGAACATGCGCACGCAAAATTATGCAACTACCTAGATTCAAACTTTCGGCTTGTCACTGTCACTTTTTTTTTTTACTAAAGACAGTTATAACCTATACTTCAAACCTCCTGGTCTCTTAGGCAATTATAAGGCAATCTCTGATAAGAAAATGAATACATTTCAAATGCAGCAACAGCTTGTGCACCTCTAACTCATAGAGGGGAGGTGTTAGGGTTTTTTAGTGGACAGGGTCCGGGTAGAAGCAGGAGCAAAATCGAAAAAGAAACTTAACTTAAGTTTAAAACATTAATTTCAACCAAACTCGAACATTTTCCATTTTTTCAACCCTTCTCCCACCCATGTGTATTTACTGACCCCGTTAATTGCGTTGAGTAACAACATATTTTTTTTTCAAACAAATTTTATCAAGTTTTTATTTAGCAAATGCATATTCAAGCGAATAACAAAACTCTAGAAAAATTTAGAAAACTGATTTAATTCTCTATCAATTCAATTGGCGAAAAACAATTCTAAAAAATCTTAAAACGCTGTACATGTCGGCTCGTTTTTACACCCGTTATTCAACTAAAGTTGAGTGATTAAAGTTGAGTAAAATTGAATATACTGACAACCAAAATTTTGTGGAAGTTTTTTTTTTTCAAACAAAAACTCAAGCAATTAGGGTTGCTGGTCAAATAATAAAGAGATTCCAAAGCCAAAAAAAAAAACAGAAAAAGGTCAACATGGAATGCTTCAAAGATCAAACAGAGGTTGAAGTTTTGATATCCCAAAACGTTTATTTCATTTGTTTGAGATTTTTGTTTCTTTTAGCAAAGAGATTTTCAAAAAGATAACCAAGAGCTGTCGATTGAGCTTGTTTAGCATAGGCAAAAACCCAGGCAACAAAAAATTTTCCGTCCTTGCAAAAACCTTTTTAGCAAAAACTTGTCTTGAATATTTACCATTGAACAATTGAAATCAACTTTAATCAGTATTGTTTTTTTTCAGCTGTCAATTACACCCTACACGAGGTTAAAACTGATAAGATTGTAATAATAAGCTAATAAAAAGCAAAGGCAACACATTTGTCTGCAGTTAGGCATCAAAAAATGGTTTTCTTTTTTACAAAACATAAAACAAACAAAAAAATTCAGCCATACTGTTGCAAAATCACACTTTTTTTTGGAAAAAAGAAACAAATTAGTTTATTTTTCACCATAGATTGATAGTTAGTTTGTAGAGCAAGCCATTTTCTAATTTTAAGGTTTCTGTAGACTTTTGGTCGTTTAATATACGTCGCTAACAATGAAACTTTTTTTATGTTGTCGAAATTATGTTATGGAAAGCTAATTTCTTCATAAATCTTGGTTCCTTTAGTCGAAAACCACAATGAACATTATGTAATGGTTTCTCAATTTGACGCACATTCGTGCATTTTCCCAGAGGAGAGTAAAAGTTTTCATTTCTTGCTTTCGTTGACATTTTAGGGTATCATCAAGTTTTTTGCTGACAAATCACGTTTAACTATTCAATCAAACCATTTTGCTCCCATTCCAGTCCACTCTAAAGAAATCGAGCGTTATAAAATCATTTTTTATGGTCTAATGCAGCAAAGACGTGGTAAAAATTTGAACATTTCGTATGGCAGATAATTGTTGTCACTGCGGTTTTGTTGCGTTCATTTCATTTTAAATGAAAATCATTCGCTTCCATTGCCTTGCGCTTAGTAATTATTGGATGTCTAATTGTCAAGTATATTGAACTGGTATTCATTTCAAAACTACCAGTTAATGGATATTAATTGTTTCTGAGAAAATTATATTTGATTTCAAGCAGTCGTTGTTTAATGTGATGAAAACTGTAATGTGACCAAATATAAGTGTTTACTCGTTTTTTTTTACAGATGAGTTGCGCAAAATCTTTATCAGCAAACTGAGAATGATATCTTTCTGATTGAATTTTAATTCTATTCTTTGATTTGACACTTGTTGGGACCTTTGACTTTTGGCAATAAAATATTGTTTTTTTTTCACATTTGCAATATAATATTGCAATATATTGCAATACTTCCGAGAAGAAAAATGCAAGAAACAATGAATTGGAAACAACTATTAAAAAT